TGAGTCGATACTCCCGCAGTTATTGAAAAGGAATAAGAGGTGGTTCGGTAGACAGAATAGAGTATAGAATACTTCATTCTCGAGAGAGACCTCAAACTTGGGTAATTAAACGTTTATGGTTCTAATCAAAAACGATAACAATCAAACAACCTTGAACAATCAAAAACAGATAACATACAGTAGATCGCAAGAGAAATCTTCAATTGTAAGGGATTCAGGTTAGAAGAGAATCAATCGCCAGGGAAATCTTCAATTGCAAGGGATTCAGGTTAGAAAGGATCACAAGAAAAATCTTCAATTGTAAGGATTCAGGTTTGAAGAGGATTAATCGGAACAGAACTCTTCAATCAATCGCAAGAAGATATAAAAACTAGGGCCGTCAATAAGAAGTTAAGGGGAGAAAAAAATGAGCGTCCCTGGGCGACGCGGCCTTTATATGCCCGTCTTTTGGCGTGCAATCGTTGCGATCTAAGTTGCCGTATTGACGGTCTCAGATCACCTTCGATGAAGCGCCCCTTTTTTCGAAGGAAGTCGCGCTGCTTTTCGCGATAGTGCTTGATGCCTCGCGGAAGCATTTGCTCTCTGATAACTAGTATATATGGCTCGGGATAATCTCATGTTACTACATTGCTTATTGCTCCCACATCAGGCTATCATCTTCCGTTTCAGAATGCTCATCTGCTAGCCGGTATTGCAGAGAAGACTTTATCAAGTGGGTAGAACGAGTTTTTGTAGCAACATAGAGCTTTCCAGTAGAAATTTGATGACAACCTTAGATGTGCTGGATAATAAAGAGATTCTACAGCAATTGAAGGACGAAAACTTCGACGTCGCCATAACGGAACTATTCGACTTCATTGGAATCGGTCAGTAAACTTTGCGTGGCAATAAGTAAAGCAAGGTATATGAAAAAGGCTATATGCCCCTTTCTCTCCCCCCCCCCAATAAAAATGAGCATGTTCACAGACAGTTTCATAACACCGCACGGCAAATGTGGGCAGTGTGGCAAAACTTTAGCTTCCCCTAACTAGATATTGACTAAACGCGCTTCGAAATTCGTTAGGATTGGGCCTTCCAATGGTAGTTCTCCTACCCTCGATACGGATTTCTTCGCCACCAAGGAGTCATGGAATGTTGACCAAGCTTACATCGTCACTTGAACACAATTTTTTGTCCACGGGTTGCAGAGAATGGGCAGAAGTGGGGCGGCTACTGTTAAACTCCTTTATAAGTCGCAATTTGAGAACCATTTCCATCCCTAACGACACATGGGCTTGCACAGCGTTGTGGTATTTCGAAGTTAGTCATATGACAAACTGCCTTCGTAAGAAGCTTGCAATAGTGGCTGCGGTAAATCACATTAACTATGCTAAATGAGTCACATTTTCGAGATCCAGGAAATCATTCCTAACGGATTTTGATCTGAAACTCAATTAAAATGCATTGATAGTGTGCAATGTGTCTTTTCAGGGGTTCTTGAAGCTATCGGCCTCAAGAATGTTGTCGGAGCGCATACGTGTGCGCTAATGGAAGGAACATCATTGGCTTTAGGCGCACCAATTCTTCCAAGCTTTATGCCAGGTAAGAAACTGCGATGATGTAAGAAATGATGAGCATTCTTATGCTTAAAAAGTTGTGATAGGAAAAAAGGGCTTAAATCCAGGTATATGACGTTCTTGCTCACGGTTGTGAGCTTCCTCAGCTGTTTCTATTATGTGCTATTTGACGATGTTTTCTGCGTGTTTATATGGTTACATCACAACTTTGTGAAATGTTCTAATATGAGCAGTGCTGATTGGATTAGTGCCTGGGAAGTCTTAAATAAAATTCTAGTTTTTTACCAAAAGCTTTTTCAGCATCTCTGGGAATTACGAACGACTCAACTGATTTATGGACACGTGCCACAAACCTTTTATTCACGGTCCTCTCATGGTACTTCCAAGGACGAAGCGCTAATGCTGCAGATCGAGTGATGAGAGAGAAACTAGGGCCCACTGCCACTCCAGTATGGGTAGGTTCCATAGAAAGCCTTAAGTCTATGTTCGAACTTGATTGAAAATGGTAGTAAAAATCGAGTACAAGAAGTGATTCTCTCTCCAAACGCAATTTGCAGGTGTTCTTTTCGGTGAGGAAACGCATGAATTATTGTTCTCTCGAAATTAAAGTCGCGGAAAAAAAAGATGGAGCAAGCCCAAGTCGCGCGCCTTTTAACAGTTTTACATACAATTTTCAAACTGCACGAGGTACAGATATCACAACCACGCCCTACATAATGTACCCCGCACTAAGATCCCCGAAAAATCACAACCTATGTCTTGCATTCCAAAAACTCAAGCTTTGAATTCCCAGGGTTACCAAAACATTACCCAACCATTTAGTAATGAAAGGCTCGACCACACACATCGTGAGCAAAAACAGATCGGCTGGCATTATTACTCAATCCGTAAGATTATTGCTGATAAATATAAATCTCAGCATTTTCTCATAGCGATAACTTCCGAGCGCACACTGCAGAAGCCAGAAGAACAAGTTATCATGTAAATCGCCTGTAAAGACCAGCTGAATTATCATGAAAAACCTATAAGCGTTATAGATATGGATTGGAATTCTTTTACACACTACGGCAAGACGTGAACCCAAAGCCCCTTCATCCTCGCAGTTCTGAACGAATTATAGTGGAACGTAAGGGTCACTTGCCCGCGAACCACCTGCCATACTAAAGACATTGGCGTCACACCGCCGGTTTTCAAAGTTCCTAATGCTATGGAAACAACTTAGGTTTATCGAGAGTTGTAAAAAAGAAATGAAAGAAGGGAGCGAACACTCAGACAGGTGCGATCTTCTTCTGATGTATCGTGAAGCATTAGTAACTTTCGAAATCAGTCCAATATCAAAGGGGCAGCGACATGCCTCATCGCAAAAATCTTCAAAATTCTGTTCCGGTAACGAATCTAATCATTGAACTTCATTTTTCGAATAGCATTTTAAGGCGTACTTGATTTGGGTAAACAAAGATTTCATGTGCAATTCTGAAATTTTACGCAAAACTAATTAAACAGGGCCATGCGCGACGTTTGGCTGCTGTCCAACTTTGTTTTCCGCGACTGTAGAGTGCAACAACGCTCAATCAATTGAAGAAAGTGAGATAGGAAGGGGAAACACATGAAGGAAAGAAAGCCGGACGATCTGAACACCCTCAATCACGCTCAGTGAACACGACTAGAAGGATAAATTTCTTGCTGTAGCCAGTAGTCCATCCTTATTGGAATGCGGCATGCATTCTACTTCCATTCAGATTCGCAGTGGACTATTCATTGCGGTGTGGCTTATGCAATGACTTACGGGTGCAGGCCGATTAAAAAAGTTATTGTTTCATCCTCCTATATGGACCTGGTAACAACTCACCGTCCCCGAAATGTAAGAGGCTTGGTGAGCTTGAACGGGAACTGATGCAAGATTTGATCTCGAGTGATCAAGTCTCCATACTCTGCCCGCACTCTGTTCAACGAGAAGTACTTGCGTCGATACCAAGGTCTCGCAGCAAAACGTCCATTCAGTGGCCGAAAACAACCAGAAACGAAAGGGCGCAAACGAGTAGCGCGTTTGGCCATGCATAGGCGCGCGACTAGTCGCTCCACTTCACCCATGGCAAGGACCAGAATCTTTGGACATGAATGTACAATTTGTCTTTAATATATGGGTCTCTCATTGCAGAAAGAGTAGTTTATATAAGAATTTGACGTTAGTGGACCAGCACTGGGAAACTTGGCTGATGCTTTATAGTCCTAATCTATTTTTCGTATAGTATTTTTGGTAAACATAGCCCTGAAACAAGACCAAGACCAAGATTCGTACAGGACGTAGTTTCAAATATGTCATGGGTGCTTGTCAATTCCGAACCACTAATGGATTTCGACAAACCTACACTGCACAAAATTGTAGACGTCGGAGGCCTTGGAGTGCACGAGCCGAAGCCACTTACTGAAGTCGGTTTTTTATTATCACTCTTGTTTTTAGTTCAAGTATATTAGTATAGTTGTATCTTTATAGAAATGGAATCGCATTCTCAGTCTAAGGAACCGTACCATTCTCATCTCGTTTGGCACTGTAGCGCAAAGCAAGTTCATGCCCGACTCAATGAAGAGGGCTATCATTGATGTGGTCAAGTCGTGAGTCATCCGAATTGTTCCGCAGTAAAGTGGGAATTCCCTCTTGTGGCAGGTTTCAATAGTTTCAATAATGAACAGAGCGACGGCAACGTTTATGGGGCATTGCAACAGTTTTTGTGCCTCGCCATGGAGGACTCCCCCGAGTGAGGCGGAAGAGAACTGCAATATCTCCGTCGGGCGAGTAAACAGGGAACTGGTATCAAATAAATAGAGTGGACAGTAGGATTGAAGGGGTGTGTCAGGCGGGATGGGTTTGGCGCCGTGCCAAACCCGTTCCCCACCAGTCGTCGAAGCGAACAAGCGACAAGACTGTCATATCGCTCATAACAATCGTTTTCCACCAAATATTGTCGCTTAACCACTTCAACAGTTGGGAGAGGACAGGTTAGGCGCTGCGTCAGATTCATTTCGGTGGACACACCCCTTCATCCGGAGCCAACCAGACGATAAATGAACAGCTATGAGTTGTGCTTGTTTAAGCACGATAAGGAACAATCAGCTGGCTGAGGGGGTTGTTTCATAGGTCCATCTTCCTGGAAAATTTTACTAATTCAGTTTTAAAAGCTCAGTTTGGTCGAAGAAGGTCAACAGGTGCCGATTCATTATCCAACGGGTTACTCGAGCCTGGGTCTTACGCCTGGGGTTCGTATTTAGATCAAAGAGGCAACTGCTTTAGCCCGCCCCGGAATAACCACCGGAATAACCAGTCGCGTACCCAGTCCGACCTTCCATCAAAATTCCATCAAATATCTTTATTCTCAAATAACTCAATCTTAGTGTTGTGTTGATCACTATTAAAGTTTCCCATCTGTATAACTGGCTAATTTGATTGCGGCGCCCCCATTCCTGCTATATTTATACTTGTGAACATTCAGAATCTGCACACGTGGTTTAAAGATATATTGACGAGTAATTTTTACGGTCTTGCTGACGTGTATCCTGGTTGATTGTTTCGTTTTGTCGAGGAACACCTTGAGTGCAGCATCAAATAAATAAATAAATTCTGAGTGGAAGCACGAGTGCAGAAAACTTGATCATCGCTTTCGATGCTTATCGGGAAGGTAGAAGCTTGCTGAAAGCATCTCTAGATGGCTGCAGCGTGAGGGCCTTATTGCAGCGCCAACACTTAAAGAAAAAACCACGACAAGCAGAGTTTCGAATTAGAGCCTACAGCATGAGCTATGTGGTGCTTTTTGGGCCTTTCTAGTTTCTAACTCCGCCTGAATTTTCACTCTGCGCTTTGGTACGAACTAGTTGTGTCTAAGAGGTCAAAACCCTGTTGGACAGAATTTTCCGCATTATTGTTGGGCTGACGCCGACGTGCAAGCTACCCAATTGCTTTGGGGTAGATTCTTAGGCGTCACGTCTATCGGCTGGTCTCATGCCAGGACAGAATAGTGAAGGGTCCCGCTACTGTTTCACTCCCATCTTAGGCTTCCAGCTTATCACATGTCTCTAGGGCCATCGCTCTCCTACACTCTCCTACAGCTATAAGATGGACCTTTGTTAGCGGGCTTTTTCGCATGCTCAAACGCTATATACTACTATATCATCACTGCACGTACCAAATAATTTCAGTTACCCCGATATTACGTTCATCTGGAAGTATGAAGATCCAGACAACGAGATGTTTGGAGGAATAGATAATCTGTTTCCTTCAAAATGGACGCCACAAAGCTGCTTATTAGGTTAGTGGTACGTCATTTCTGCTACTCCGAACTTATTCTTGCAATTTCCCGCTCTTAATCTGCGTTCATACTTTGCGGCAGCGTCAACCAGTGATCTCCAGCGTCCACCAGCGATCATCAGTGTTCCGAGCGTCCGTCAACGTCAGCGACCAGTAAAGTATGGATATCCATTTAGCGTCCACTAGCGATCAGGAGTAAAGAGTATAGGGAAGGGTAACAAACTGCTGGAATAGTATGGGCTAGTAGGAGGGAGAAAACAGTTGGATTTGTGTAGTGAAATTAAGGCGTGTGCAACCGCAGCGTACTTACACAATACTACTCCTCGATACCCGTGAATGGTGGTGGTCGCTCGTGGACACTGGTAGATGCTGGAATGAAGTGCCTTCCCAGTTCCTTGGAATGCTGGCCGCTGGCTAACGCTGGTGGATGCTGGTAGCTGTCGTTCACTAGATCGATATTCATAATTACCTAGTCGATGATGCCGACGCCCTCTCGAAAGAATGGTGGTCATTGGTGGACGCTGGTGATCTGCTTGACGCTGTCGCAAAAAGTGAACGCAGCCTTATAGCGTAGGCCTATAGTTCCTATCTAGGCAACATCTACGAGTATCTGACAGCCAGACAGTGCACAGCATCGTGTGTGAAACACATAAGAGGTCGCACTTTTCCACTGGAGAGGGGGGAGTCGTATTTGGTCGTTGGGAGAGGGGGTATGTGTAGTATTTGAGAGAAATTTGCTGCTTCGGGGAAAAATTCTCCCTGTTGACTTTCCGGAGTGATTTTGCCTGTTTCATGCGTACTATCTCGAAGGGGAGAGGGGGGGGTCGTACCTACAGTACCATTTCACACTTCGCGATGCTGTATTCTGTAGCCAGAATCTCTGTCATGAAGTGGGCCGGTACGCGGTTGCAGAGGATGTACCACTTCTGCCACTTGGAAGTGAGTGACGATGCTATTGCGAGGGCCATCAATCGTACTTCGGCTCCACACAAGTGCCGGTCCCAGGCGCAGTTCGGCTTCGTGATGGCACTTAGCGACGTTTCTGCTGGCCACCTAGGGATGAATTCCTGTAACGGAAATGCCATGCATGTGACATTTCGCTGCTTTATAGAAGTTCACCTTTCTCACCAGTGTGAGACTTTTCACTTAACATGAACTAGCATTATTTGTTAGCTGAAGCCCCCCTCCCCTAAAAAACCGAACAAAAAACTGAACAGCTCTCCATTTACCATCCGGTCATGAATGAGTCGGCATCCGCATCTCGTTCATCTATCTCTCCGTTCTCCCGACTTCTTCTGTTTCTAAGCCTTTCGCTCTGACTATACTATAGGTATGCTCGCCCAAAGCTCAAAGCCTATTACAGGGAGGCCTACTTAGGAAGATATCAACTTCTTTCTTGCTTTCTGAAAGCTCAATTAGCATTTGCAAGTCCACATCTTTCATGGAACATTTTTTCTTTCGTAGCTCGAAGCACTGTTGAGATGCTCAGAAGAAGTTTCTACGAAAATGCTAATTCCCGAAGTTTCACGTTAGCGTGGAGAAGCATTTGCAGAAATTCGAACATATATTTTGCTTTCAGCCGACAAACGTCTGACACTTTTCATCACACATGGTGGTGCTGGAAGTATGATGGAGAGCGCTCATCGCGCGAAGCCCCTGGTCGTGGTTCCCTTGTTTGGCGATCAAACGAGAAATGCGAAACTTATCGAGAAGTTTGGTTATGGTAAGTGAAGTATGGATTGGGAAATAGAAGGGGGAAAGTGTCTCCTGTATAGTATTTTGGGACACTCTACGGGTACAAACGTAGGCCTTTCAGTTGTTTTTGAAGCTGTTTTGATAACTGCTGTTTAACGCCGCAGTACGCGTTCCGAATGTTATCACAAGAATGCTGAGTTGTGGGCAAAAGTCGTGCCCCAGGCGGGAGTCGAACCCGCACCTCACGCTTTCCGGGCGAGTGCGCTATCCGTTACGCCACCAGGGCCGCTTTTACCCTCTCAGCTTAACGGCTTATGCCGTAACCTTACAGCACTCACACGTTTAACTTGGTGAGCCGGTCAGCCGTAATCGTTAGATATCGGCATGGAACCGCGAGGCCGAAGGCTTTACAAGTTTTTGAAGCTGTTTTTGTTGGATAACTGCTGTTTTACGCCGCAGTACGCGTTACGAAAGTTATCACAAGAATGCTGAGTTATGAAACACAAGTTAAACGTGTGAGTGCTGTAAGGTTACGGCATAAGCCGTTAAGCTGAGAGGGTAAAAGCGGCCCTGGTGGCGTAACGGATAGCGCACTCGCCCGGAAAGCGTGAGGTGCGGGTTCGACTCCCGCCTGGGGCACGACTTTTGCCCATAACTCAGCACTCTTGTGATATACCTGTCAGTTGTCTTCTTCGAACGGTAGGATCGCTTAAAAGCTCGCAAAGAGCAGATAACCTTCATCAGCGTCGTTATAGCATTAGGTAAGTTCAATAAAAAGCAACCAAGTAGAAAAACTGTGATGCACTTGCACAGAGTTCCCAAGTTTCCCTCCCTCCCCTTCGACGGCTGCTTTTTCTTGAGAATGTTCTGAGGAACGAGGAAGGGCTCGTACCAGATGGAAATTCGTGGGGGGAGGGAGAAGGGAGAATCGTAATTTGCAGGAATTCTTCCCAACGGAAAAAACCCCTGACTAGCAGGATAGGGCTGGCGGTGCACCCCATGCCATCTGAAGTGCGGCAAGTCTCGCAAAGCAGCCAAGTATCTCCTAGCTTGTTAACATGCCTCACCCCTTCCGGGTCGAATAATTTGGATCTTAGTGCGAATAACAATGTTTGTAGCACCCCATTCGCCACCCTAGCTGGGCTACGGACTCGTACAACAATGCTAAATGGGCCATGCTGCCACACCAACTGTCAGTTCGTTGCTCATCCTGCGCATTGGATGGTTTGTTGACTAGGATAGTTAAGCGAACAAGTTTCGCCCACTCCCAATCTGTGCGTAAATTCTTTATTGGTTATATGACTCGAGTACTTGGAAAGTCGTGGATTTCTTGATGAAAATATGTGCAAAACAAATAATAAAACAGTTAAGGTGTTCCTCTGGATAAAGCTCACCTTCACGACAGCAACCTGCTGCGTAGCGCAATCGAACGGATTCTCGCCGATTCTAAGTGAGCGACAGTGCTTTCCTTACGTGATGGAGATGAGAACATCACTGCCAACAGAATTTCCCCATATGTGCTAATCCTGAAACCCATATAGTAAAATGAGGCAATCTGTATTGGAATTTCAGATATCAAAAAGCAGCCAATCGGATAAGCCAGCTGCTGTCGCGACGTCCATTCAGTCCAGAGGAGAAACTCGTGAAAACCGTTGAGCTCGCTGCCGAATTCGGAGATCTCCCTGAGACCAAAACGGCTGGAAGAAGCCTTGGATTTGTCGCCTATCACAACCTCGATTTAATTTTTATTTTGGCAGCGACGTTCGTCGCATTCATACTTTTTGTTTTATACGTTATTCTCCGGTTACTGAAGTGTAATTCTTTAGCACGGAAATTGAAATCTCAGTGAATAGGTTTTTGTGAATTAGCTGTCTTGTATTGAAAGCTGTCGTTGATATGGAGTCTTTCTAAAGTAATTCCATTCAGTCAAGTCAATGGCCATCAACTTTCAACAGTGACTGACAATCGGCCTGAAATAATACCGTAAGAAATAGCAGCAATAATAAAAACAATTGGAACGACGAAGGTACATGCGAATACACCTGAAGTTGCTATGACAAACCATAATCTATGAAACATATAGTGAGGCAAGATAAAAAGAAAATATCATAAGCGCTAACTCTAATACTAATAATATACTTCTACTACTACTAATATACTTCTATTAATGACTTCCAAATAGAACACAGAACTGTTAGCATGGATAGGAAGGGGTTAATTTGAGTCGAGTATAAATAATTTCAAAATTTATTTACCTTAATGCTTAGGGATTGGCTCGAAGAATTGTAGTAGAATCGAACATAAAATAACAAAAAAGTGCTTCCAATGAGTCAACGCCCATTAATATCTAATCATGATTCAGAAACTCTATCTGAAACAAGAATCACAATAATAATGTAATAAATAGCAACAACATTAAAAAAGAATGGGAACGACGAAGCCATACGCGAATAAACCTGATGTTGTTTATAAAAAACCATAATCTATGGAATACTAAACTACCGTTCTTCATAATTTACTACAACTACTATGATGTGCATTAGGGCTTATCCCTATATAGAGATACTGGGAAAGGAATGAAATAGGTAAATTCAATCCTACATAGCAGAAACCTTTTGATAACATAATGTGCTTTAAACACCTAAACAACTAACTAGTAAGGTTACTATGGGTTTTACTAAGTCAGACGTGATCGTGCTACACCGGGTGCAGTTGCACTCGATGTTGCGAAATAAGACTTACGACGACTAGTGTGTTTCAATTACTGCCTAGTTCGATAACATTAGTCACGGAACAAGTAGACAGGCTATTACGCAATAAGGTCATAGATATGTACAATACATACGTTATCGTCGGCACGTGGAAGAGTTTTAATTACTGTTTAGAATTTCAACAACGTACTATATAAAATCTTCTCGTAACGGCCCTGAAATAAAATCATTCGCCGATATTTAGTAGACTAGATAAACATAATATTACGACGTCTTACAGTAACGGTTGATGTGAATAAGTTCTATGAGGCACAAAAGATTGTTACACTCCAATAAACCACTATTAACGATACGAGGTAGTACGTGTATTATAGGTTTTCAATAGGCATAGATGTGTGGTTGCAAAACAATGGGTGCAAGTGCACATGGCGTTGCAATCACACCTAATAGTCGTACTACTTATTGGACGACATACTCATAAAAAACAAGAGTTATCGGAGAGCCGTCCAGATATAGTTTTTAAAGAACTTTACCTGAATTTCCTTGAAATTAGGATATAAGGATGGATTACAATTTGACCGTTCAGGCTTACCACTCCACTATAATTGCCTAAATATGCAATATTAAGCCTTTTATAGTAAATATTGGAAATATTCCAAGTTTACATGGTTTCACTAGTTTTTCGTAGCGTCGACACTCCAAATATAACGTTATCAAATAATGGATATCTAGCTATTTTATTCTAGCGACTTCAACCTACCAGGGCACAGCGCAGGCACATGGTTGTGGTTTATACTCGGCGAAAAAGTTGTCGAGCGGGGGGGGGGGGGGTATGTAGTAAGCAGTGCGACGTACATGGTACGGGCGTACATACTAGCTATAATTCATAAAAATCCACCAAGTGAACCACATAATTCCTAGCCAGAAATACGACCCCCCCTCCCAACAACGACCAAATTACGACCCCCCTCCAAAACGTCCGCAAAGCGAGAAAAATCAACTATAAAAATAAATTTTTCCCAGCCCAAATACGACCCCCCCTTTTGACGGCCAAATACGACCCCCCCCATAGGGAATCCCCAACCAATGCTGTGCCCTGCAACCTACAGTTAATGCAAGGACCGGTAATAAGTGTTCAAGGGTTCTAGGTTTTGTTCCCCTACATACTACTTTTTCAGGTACTTCTTTTGGAATCGGGATAAGATACCAATTCTTTTATTATATACTATAAGAGGACCATACCTTTTACTAAAAATAGGGATCAGCGCTGACCGGGTTATACGAGTCAAAAATGGCAAGAGGGATCAAATTTTTGACCCCCCCCCCCCTAAGGGCTAGTTGTTCCTCCGGGAACACACAGGTAGTGCCACGCTCGGAGCAGCAGCCCTGCCGAACCTTTGGGAGATTCCTCTCTGCCTATGGTTGGACCACTCATGCGCTTAGATTTCAGGTAAATAAATTGCGATCAAAGCTACTATATCAAACAGGGATTCCACCGGGTTAGGGGAGAGGCGAACTGTTACGTACCCCATCGTGACAATGTCCGCCGCTGATGGTGGACACCGAAATGTCCACTTCGGACCATGTCCACCATATGTGGCGGACGGGCTTTTGATGAAATTTTTAGAAACAGTTCGAGTTCTTCGAGGAACATTGCTCAGTGGTACATACCTTTGTTAATTTATGCAGAATAGTGGACCAACGAGATCTTCAGATATAAGGGTCCCAGGCACGATTCAACTAGCAGCACCTGAGCCCAAAACCTCTAGAAAAATTTCTGCTGAAAAATTGCCGGTAGGGGTTACTCAGTGCCCGATCACGAATGTGACGCCCGTTTCAGGCGCCAGCGGTGTCTTACTTCATTTGGCACCATTAGGCGCGAACTCACCACTACCCTTTTTCACCAAACTTCAGGAAAAGTTCACTGGGGCTTTTGTCGAGTCCGGCGTTCTTTGCAGGTCCCAGCGCTAACTGGGCCCCAGTTTGATGCTATCACTCTTCCACGCAAATTGAGTATCCAAGGCATCCCATACTAAGGTTATGCTCGAATGCAGAGCAGCAGCGACTTCAGCGAAAAAGGCGACGGCGAGTGCAGGTGGATCCTAGCGCCGAATAGCGCCGGTGAAAAAACTATAGGCACTGTCAACCCTTCACTGCCTCAGACATCCGGAACCAAGCCAACTTTCGACCAACTTTCTTTCTATGTGGACAGACTTGGCTTAGCAGTCGTTTCCTGAGTTGGTTTGACCTTTTGAACACGAGTACCACTTCCGCTCGGCTCAAAACCCCCTTGCCACCAGATTTTGAGCCACCTCAATAGTCAAATCACCGAATATGCAAGCTCACACGGTTTTCGAGGGAAAGACTAAAGACGAGGGGTAGCACTAAATTAGCGCACATTGGCGCCAAATGGGACTAGAGGACATACGAATGTCTATTTTGTAACCTGAGGAATAACCCCTGCACTCGATGGTTCAGTAAAAAAGGAGATTTCGGGAGCAGAAAGTTGAACAGTGCTAAAATTTTTAGTAAGGGGTCACGAGGGACCGTGTCCACCACTGGTGGCGGACACTTGCTGAGAGCTCGCAAATGCTCCGGTCCGAACGAGCCGTTTTCGAAAAACGCGCCTGGTCGCGAATGGGTTAAAGATTTGAGAATGAAAAAGGGTTGTATGTGTAGGACTGAGTGTACTATTTGTAGTATTATTGACAAAACCACTACATTAGCTCGCAAGTTACCAAACTGAAAATTAATACTCACAATGGTATAAACACCAACTGTTTTCTAAAAATGTTATATATGGTTTAACGTGCAATGAATGCGGAGTCCAATAAGGAATGACAACAACAGCTCAAAGATAGCATAAAAGAGCACCTTTATAACGTTAATTCTCATAAAATACACACTTCTTTATATGACCATTTACAAATGCAAGAAAGGTGTTACCGTCTCCACTTCAGATTAACAAGGGAACAGAAGATAAAGCTGTTTTAGCAGAGTGGAACTATTCTGGGTAAAGTTATTAATGACCCTGGCTATGGTAATATCACCAACAGAAACGTTCCCAAAGTGATAAATAGTAACCTCCCCTATTTCTTGCCTAAAGCCATTAAAACAAGAAACAACAGAGGTACTAATAAAAATAAAAAGAAAAATGGAAGAAGTTGTAAGGACTATAAACAAATATTGAATGAAATAATCGATAATGAAAACACGTTGGAATCAGCTGACTATTACAGAATGTTTGAAAGCATAAGAAAAACAGAAATTAATAAAATGTTGTCTTTGTGTAGTGATTCCTTCACAGCGTAAAAGAAAAAACTAAGCTGTAGTTTTTTTGTTTATTAGCTCAATTACATTACAACATAGAATACAATAAAAAGCCGAAGAAAAACTATCATAACTTGACTGTCTATTTTGAAAATGAAGTATTCAACGAAATACCGTTTAATAGTATACTGAATTCCGGTACATTCAAAAGAATTCTCCATTGCAGAAGCAGTGATGAACATACTCCTATTTGGATTATGTATAAGTATTCGACTACTTTTTCCAGCAAAATGTATAATTACAATAGCTTCCTTAACACGTTGACAACGAACCGTTTTCTTCATGAATTGCCCGTGGGACGGCACGTTTTTCTTCGTAGAAACTTAGTAATTTTTGAATAAATGAATGGCTACGGTCAAAGTTTCAAGAAATGCAAGATACGAGTATACGAATCTCGAATCTTTGACACAATTTAGCTTTTATTGCTCCAATCTTCCAAAACCAGGCCATTTTTTACCAACTTCTTCCTCTGGAGGCAGATTTTGGCTGAAAATTTGTCTGCCGGGGTAGTTTGACCTCCTAAAGATCATTATTGCATCCCCTTGGCCCGAGAATGTTTGTTCTTGAAATAATTTTATGAAAAGAAAATGAAACAATTGCGCAGATTTTGAGTTATATAATAACTGTAGGATAGCATTGGGTCGCACCATTCCACAAGACAAACTGGCTATCGTTCACCATTGACGGAAATCGTCGTCAACGCGTTGAATGGATATGATATTCTTGTTCAGGGGTCGAACTACCCCTAGGGACAAATTTTCAGCTAATTTGGTGATTTACGGTATTTTGGCGCCGGCGCCTGTGGCGC